AGGTGAGGGAGACAGCTGCTGTCAGCTGAGGGCTTGGGAGTGAATCGGCCGGCGGTCTTGACAGTGGAGTGGCGACGGACTTAACGATGGAGCGGCCAACGGACTTGATGATGGAGCTGCCAGCGGGCTTGACAATGGAACGGTCGGCGGGCTTGAGAGTGCAGCGGCCGGCGGGCTTGACTGCTGAGTTCATGCAGAGCTGGTCCTGGATCGAGGCTGGACAACGGAGGATATCTTCCCTCCAGCTCAGTCCAGTGGTGTCTGGGAGGTCCACAGAATGATGGTAATTGACCCCGATACAGAACAGAAAAATTAAGAGTGGCGTCATCCAACGCTGTCATCACGGCGAGCCCGCAGAATTCCTGAGCGAACTCTACAAAAGGAAGATCCTTGCGAACTAGGGCGGCGAATCTTGCGGCGGTTTCCATGACAGGGAACGGAAGAAAAACAAAACTTTCAAAAACAGAAACCAACACAGGAAGAAGGGTCAGCGCTTACTGTTAGGTCCGGTGTTCTGTCACGATTGCCTACGGAGAGGAGCAAGGAATGCGGAGATGAAGGATAAATACGAACAACAGTCTTTAATAAACAAACCTAGGGTAATACAGGGCTGGCTGGAGACACATGTAGCACAACGTAGATATTCAACACTGGACAGGAAACAAGGGGCAGAACACACTTTAAGTACTGAACTTAATGAGGGAATTAATGAGACACCTGAGATCAATGAACATAATCAGAACACTGGAGAAACATGGGTGACAGGGAGCACAACACAAGACAGGAACATGGGCAGTCTAAGTGCGTGACATTTATCATGGCTATTCTGTTCTATCTTTGTCAGCATTAGGAGTGCTGGAGTTTGCTAAAAGCTGAACTTTTGTTACTTTTAATAATGCAATATAATATAATAAAATATAATATATACAGCTTATGATGAGCTAATGCGAAAAAAGAAAAAGAAAAACACTTATAGTTATGTTTCAATTATATGTTTTTATAATTCACAAAACAATTTGAATCATCCTCTGAGCCGCATTTAAATATCAGGATGTTTTGTCTTATTTTTTGACAATAAAAACTGTAATTGTTTATGTATGTGACATAAAAGGATTGATAAGTGACATACAAATATCAACACAATGTTGTGTCTGTAAAACACTTAAATAAATGCTTAGATTACAAACATGTTACATCCTGAGGAGTACTAGAAAATAATAATAATAATTATAAATAAGTAACAAGTAGAGTGAGAACGTGTATTTCTGATTGTTTCATATTGCTTCAGCAGAGGGCTGGAAATTAATTTGCATCTGAATTATTCTGAATATACACATTCAAAACGCAACTTGAACAGCAGAAATAAGAGAATCATTATCTACGTAAATTTCAGCAAACACAAATGTTCTTGTAGCTCAAACAAGTAGAGCATGGCACTAGCTATTCCCAGTGAACAAGCTAATATATATATATATATATATAT